CAGCGGTCATTTCTTAACAGGGTGGAAGCAGCAAAGCCCCTGTGAATTGAACTTGAGCCCAGGCAGGGGAGCCATCAGCCTTCCAGAGGCCCAAGCAGACGTCAGAAATGGCTGGGCACCAGATCCCCTGCACCCAGAGGGCTTGGGAGGGGACAGGGCAAGGGCCGGCTCACTCCTGTGCCCGCCACTAGCCACCACCCAGGCTGCTGGTTCCAAAGTACAAGGGGCTCCAGACACGAGGAGCAGGCGGAGGGGAGCGGGCTGGGAGTGGGGTGGCCCGGCCAGGCCACCACCTCCTTTTATGGTTGGCTCTGGGACCGGCAGGTCAGTGCTGGAAAAGCGATGACTCAGGACTGAACGGCAGCTCCCTCTCAGCAAAAATGAGGCCCCACTTCTTCCCTCATCACACTGTTTGTCCTCAGACCACCAGAAGTTCAAATCAGACCACAGATTCACACAGCTGGGGAGGCGGCGATGCCAAAACCGAGGTGATGGGAACAGGGGCGCCCTGATGGGCTAGGCTGGAGGCCGAGTTAGATTTGGCTCCAGAGTCAGGACAGCATGCAGGGAGCTGAGGTCACCCCCAGACTCCACCCAATGCGGCCTCACTCTTCCCCTCCCCCAGTGGCCAGTGGTGGGGGGTACATAGTGGGGAGGGGGAGAGAGAGGAGGAGGAGGAAGAGAGTCTCTGAAGGAGGCACCAGGTCTGGGAGCCCAACCAGATCCGAGGTGTCCCCCACGGCCCCGCCCACAAATCCAGTTACTTGCCAACACCTCAAGTTGAAGCCAACAGAGCTAAAACCGTTTTTTCGCAGATGAAGGAAATTTCCTGTTTGTAAGGAAAGTGCTCACACTTGGTGAGAGAGACCCGGTGGCTGGCCAAGCACGCCCACAGGTTACGAAGAGGGTCACAACGATCTGGTCTGTGCAACGTCATTGCAGGTGGAGGACCATATCCTAGCACATGGCCACCGCCACCACTAGGCCCATCCAACACCCCTCAGCCCACCAATCCCTCACTCAGCCTGAGTGTCACCACAGGCACTGAAGGCTGGACTAACCCATAGCTGTGGTGCCCAGAGGCCACCAGAGGCCTAAGGCTCGGTGGCAGGTGACAAGTCCAGGGAGGAACCTCCTGCCCCCTCCGAGCACTGCCCCAGGCACTGACACGTAGAGGTCGGCCTCAGGGGCAGGATCAGGCATCAGACCCCACAAAAGGCAGAGCAATTCCTCAGCAGAAGCGGGAAGGCACGGTGCCTGATGGGGAGAAAACTATTCCCCGCCCACCGCGTGTGGACCAGGTGCTGTAGTTTCAGGCAGATGGTTGTGAGGGCGCTGACACCCACAAAGGACCCGGACAACACGCTCCAAGCGGGTGAACTAGAAAAAAAAGGCTGAGCCTGCAGTGTGAATAAAAGCCAGTGCTGGTAAGAGACAAGCTCTGGCTCAGAGTTCTGGGACCTTGAAGACTTTATGAAATAAGCCAGTTAAAGAGTGTGATTCCACTAGTCTGAAGTCCCCAGAGTCCAATCCAGAGACAGAAAGAACGGTGGGGTCCAAAGGCTGGGAAAGGGAAGAAGGGGGTTGCTGTTTAATGGGGACAGTTTCAGTTTGGAAAGATGCAAAAAGTTCAGGACTTGGTGGTGGTGATGTTTGCACAACAATGAGAATGTAGTTAATGCTACTGAACTGTGCACTTAAAATTGTTAAAATGGTAACTCACATTATGCATGTTTTGCTATATACACAGTCCTGAGGGTGAGGGAGGAGAGGGAAAGAGGAGCCGCTCTGCAGGCTGACCTCGGGGACCCGGGCTGCCTTCCCATCGAGAGTCACGAGTCCCGCCCTCCGGCACCAAAGTGAAGGGAGCAGTTGTGATGCGTCCTCACCCCA